AACTTAACCCTAAAACAAACCCCTAAACCTAATCCTAACCCTTACCTTAATGGAAATCGGCTTTCTGCCGCAGCACCGTTTTAAAGCGCCCTTCTGTTGCCGCACTGTTGTCGCAGCGGTGATGACGCGCGATGATGACGTCGCGGCTTTAGCGACGCGCTTATGTCTCCGCGGATAAGGGCTTCGCGGTTTTGTCATGCCACGGTGGGTGGCGGGCCAGGGGTTGGGGATCTCTGTCTTAAACTACAAAGTTTAAGATGTGTGCATGTTTTAAAACTGTCAAGGGGGGAGAAACATTGTCTTAAAGTTGAAGAACTGAAGTTGACCTTGGATTGTCAGGTTATCAGAGATCTTATTTCTGTTATGTGTATTCTCTTCTGAATCTTGGCCCAAGGACAAATGTTTTAAAACAAACCACATTTGCTTGTTTTTTGTTTTTTTTAACAGAACACATTCAAGAGCCTTTCCTCATAGCAGTACAGAATGAACGCCTGAGAGTCATGCCGGCGAGCTTTCTACCACCTTGTCCTGTCAATAAAGCAGGTCTGTGAGCAAAGCAGAGAATGCAGAAAACATCATAATCTAACACAGGGCTGTCCAATCTTGGCGACTTGAAGACTTGGGGACTTCAATTCCCAGAATTCCCCAGCCAGCCATGCTGGGAGTTCTGGAAGTTTACAAGTCCTTAAAGTTGCCAAGGTTTTGGACAGCTCAGATCTAACAAAAGTCTTGGGAGTGTGGATGGGATTTCCCCCCCTCTGAGCAGGACAAAATACTCCTTTCTGGTGCCCTTTCAGCCAGGGGGTTCATAAGGACATTCTAAAATAAGGTGACCATATATATTTTGAATCACAAGGTCTGAAACTAGAACAAACAGAATTATTTGCATATTTTTTTGCACTTCAGCCAATCTTTTTGGCCATTGCTAATAACCCTTAGCCTTTAGAGCAACTCTCTTTAGAATTAAGTGGCCATCCTCTCTGTATGTATCACAGTTAAACTTCAGAATACATTTTTTAGTAAAATACAAGTTGGCTTTGGTTGATTAAAGATGTTTTAATATGGATTCCTGGAGCGGGAGGATTTATTGACTCATAATTGACTTTACATCAAAGAGACTCAGAGAAAGCCAGCTCTGGGGGAGGGCACTTACGCTTAGTTCAACCATAATTTAATAGTACATCATTTGCACCAATTCATCTCATTTGCATAGTGACATCTTTACACATGGTAAAGGTAAAGGAATCCCTGTGGATTTTACTCCGCTAGTCATTGCCGACTATAGGAGGTGATGCTCATCTCTGTTTCAAGGCCACTGAAGAAGACATTTCCATGGTCATGTGGCCAGCATGACATCACGGAGTGCCATTACCTTCCCACTGAAGTGGTACCTATTTCCCTATTCACATTTGCCTGCTTTCAAACTGCTAGGTTGGCAGGCAATGGGGCTAGGACAGGAACTCACCCCATAGCGTACAGCTCAGGTCTTGAACCTGGGCTGCCAAATTTTCAGCCACCAAGCCCAACGTCTTAATTGCTGAGCCATCATGCCTCTCCCCTTCAGATTCACAGCCATTGACACGCGTTTGATGCAAACTACCACGAATGAGATCATTTGAAATATTTGACACTGCTAAGCAATGATGTACTTTGTCATGAATGACATAGCAGCTTTATAGACATTTGGAGCAGTGGTGGGTCCCTACCGGTTTGGACTGGTTTGGCGGTCTGGGTCGTTGGAACCGGCAGTGACACAGGCCTGCCACGCCCCCGAACCTGCTCTCCGGGCGGCGCTATAGGCACCACCATCTTGTTTTNTTGTCGGCGCGCTTTTGTCGGCGCGCTGTTGTCGGCGCGCTTTTGTCGTGGTTTTAGCGCCACAGTTTTGTCGGCGTGCTTTTGACGTTCGCGCATTTGTCGGGTCACGGAAATTCAGAACTTCAGCTCCCTGCCTTCAGCAGATTTTTGGTGCTCATTGAGAAGGACCGGGCCAGCCCATCAACAAAATAAAAGACCTTCAGATCCAGGGAGAAGGGATTAAAATATGACACTTCCGGACATAATAGGATTACCTAGCAGCAGGGCTCACTGCATTGCAAAATCACCTGGGGACATTGCATCACCCTCCAGGCTTCAACCAAACTTGGTTCAGACAAACATGACCCCACATGGCCCCAAGGGAGTCTGACTACAACCAATACAATATGTTTCTTGCACAGGAACAGGAAGCTCAAGGGCAAGGCCCAAGAGAGGGTATAAACAACACTCACTCTCCACTCCATGTGATCAGCTGCATAAGGACCATGTGCTTGGTGGTTCTGTTCACCATTAAACCCTCTTTCCAAACAGCCTCCATATTTACAGTGTCTTTCTCCCCACTTGGACCGAACCAGATGAATATTTCTCCCAACTCTCCCTCCCTGTTTGCTATTGCACCATTGGCAGAGACCTGCCTCAAGGGCTGGCAGGAGCACATAAATTTTAATTTTGAATTTCACTCTTGTAAGCTTTGGGTCAAAGAGATGCAACTCATTCTATGCTTTCACAGACATTAGGAGATTGCAATGAAAGACCATGGAAACAATTTGTAGCTATTCTACACTGGTATAATTCTTGCAAATTGCTTTATAATTATCATCTGCCCAAGTATACTGCAATCCGGATGATATGTACCACTCAGCATCTCCTTACCTATTACTGTTTCCTACTATTGTAGCCTTGGAGTGAAGGATGAGAGGAAAAGAGGGAAATTGAGACCTGTAGTTGCTTCCAAGTTCCGGTTGTTTCTTGTAGGCAGAATATTTAAAATGTTTCGAGGGCTATTCTGACAGAACACTCAAGCTGTTTCAAGTTTTGTTCTGCAAAGCAAGTTATTTTAATTGCATTTATTTTGCCTGGCAAGGCAAAGCAAAATAGTTGCCACAATCTAAGTTCTGTTTCAGTCTTGCACAGAAGAGGGTCATAATCATGATATTTAATTGCTGTCAATGCTTTGTAATAATTACTAATAGATACCTAAAGCCACCTGACTTCTTGAAGCTGTTTCAGTGATTATCTGTGTTAATTAACACAGCAATTGAATGATCAAAGTTAATTTTTAAATCTGCTCCTGCTGATCTGATGACAAAATTAGCATATTGAGGACTGACACATTCTCTCTCTCTCTCTCTCTCTCTCTCTCTCTCTCTCTCTCTTTCTTTTTTCTCTCTCTGAACTAATTTCTTGGGATAGTGTCAGGCTTGGAACATATTTAAACATCAAACTCTACAAAGTGACAGGTTGACCTAGAAAAGGTACGCAACTTCCTGTAACTAGAGATATGGAGTAATGTAGGAGTGTCAAACTTGTGGCTTGTGGTCCGGATGTGTGACGTGATGGCCACACCCATCCTGTTTTAGTGAAGGGGGAAAAGTTGTGATGTCATGGGACATTGCGAGTTTGACACCCCTGTAGTAATGTTAAGCTGTATACTTCACACACTCAATCACCCAAACCACAAAAGGTTCTTTACATTAATGCATATTTGTTTCTAGAATATTTACCTTTTAATGCGTTTAATATCTTTATATCTGTTGTTTTTAATAGTTGTTGTTTTACAGCTCATTATATGCTGCGCAGAAATGCTTTTTGTGATAATAGGGGCTGTACAAATTTGNACCCATTACAATTATGGCAAGGAAGAGAGGCAAAAGTGGATAAAGAAACAGAATGAGCTACATTTCAAGATTCTGCTATTATAGCCAGCATTTGAACTTTCCTATGAATTTGATTTCTGGTCTACCTTATACGGTAGGTAAATATTGACTACACTGTGTCATACTACGTTGTGCATTAATGTATTGTGCTGTATTGTCTTTTTCTTTTTTAAATTTGTCATTGAGCAAACCACTCAAAAATTGTCATCTGTTTTGAGTGCAACATAAATTCTCTTTTTCTATATATGTATGTCTTCAATAAGAGCCCTTTAAATGATGCATTAAGATAAGAGTCAGAAACTGGAAGAATCAATGATTAATCAGTGTAAACAGATAATGCTTGCAAGTGTTACTAAGCGTGGCATATTAATAAACCCCAAATGTTTGAGGGTATATACCAAGGGGGGAAAAAGTCAGCAATTACAAAAGGGGGAATTGTTTAGAAACTGTTAAATAAAGGGTGCAAATTAACGTGAACTGTTGAATTACTACCACAAACAGAGGTTTTATATTAAGAGAAACAAAATTAGGGAGAAGTCACATGTTAATGGGTAATTGGCAGTCATTTGCCTACTTTCTATTCAAGTTGTAGACTTAAGGGCAGCTGTGCAAGTTAGTGCCTCTACTGAAATCAAAGAGTTGTTCTTCTCGGCCAACAGATAGCTCACTTTTTTCATATTTAAAGGAACTCAAGAAAGCCTGCCAGGACCTAGAATTTTATACTAGCTGTAACTAAATGGCTAGCAGGTGGCTTTGTGCACAGAAAAGCAAGGGCAAATATTAATAATTCATGCTATTCCCTATAGCATATTCCAGGAAAAGTAGGGTTTCCCACAAGCAACAGATTATTTCATAATGCAAAAAAGGAACAAAAAAAACTATATTCCAAATTCTTGTAAGGATTTCTCTGTTATAATAAATAGATTTGCAGGCACATATGTGATGCAAAATTATGTCCTTTTATTCAGCATAAGGCTTGGGGAATTTATACATATAGCCATAGCTAGCTCCTGCTGTGATAAATTACTAAAAAAATATATTCATTTCCTTATCCTGGTAAAATAAGTATTGCTTATCCTCAGATCAAGGTTTTTTTAAAAAAAATATTTCTCAAAACATTCAATTCTTGTGTTAAATGTTTGAAAATATGCCTTGCTGCTGCTACAGAACAATTCAGAAATTTGTCTGTGAACTTAAGTTAGAACCAAAAAGATTTTCTGAGGCTGTCTCCTTCCTTGAAAACTTATTTAAGTGAAAAATAAATTATTAAAATGATTATTATTACAAATACAGGCAATGATTTTGTATTTTGTATTAGATCTGGACTGACATTTCACTGATTGCTAGTAAAGGCAATTTAGGATTAAAAGCTAGTGTTGGTCCCATTCATATAATATAGTACTTAAAATGAACTGTTTAACTCACATATTTGTATGCCTTAAATATAGAAATATGTACTATGGAAATTTAGAAAAAAAAATTCTTCCCACTCCTCCAGTTCCAGTAGAAAGGGCATGCTACATTGATCAGGATTATAATAATCCACATTTTTGCATTGAAATGGCTGAATTAAAGAGAATAAAAGAATTGTAATAAAATGTACCTGTTGTGGCCCAGCAGGATCCGGTTGAGCTGCTGATGAACTTGGATAGTGAGGAACAATATGAGTCTGCCATGGAAGATGTGGAGGATCCTGGGCAAGGTTCAGAATCAGAGCAGGGACCAGAGAGGCTGGTTGACCACCAGGAGGCACCTGATGCGTGGAGCAGTGGAGAAGATCAGAAGCAGTTTGTCCCTGATGCGAGATTGCGTAGGGACGAGAAACCGAAGCAGCAACTCCGTAGGCAGTCTCATAGACGATAATTACGCAC